CGTGCAGGCGCCAACTGTAGTGCGCAAGACCACCACTGACGGCATGAGTGGTCACCCTCGCCAGATTGTATTGGAAATGGAAGCCAAGCACCACAAACTCTGGAAGGCGACAGAGGAGGCACCACACGTTTGGGTACCTGATCGCAGCACCATGGATAGACCAAGTCCAGGTATGATCAGAGCAGCCTCGAAGGCGTTCACCACGAAGACCTCGAGCAGCCTTGACGGCATCCACCCGTCACACTTCCAGCGCTTGAGCGACGAGGCCCTGGAGTGCCTCTGTGATATCTTCAAGGCGGTGGAGGCGATTGGAGTTTTTCCCATTCAACTTACGTGGATGGTGATGCCAATGTTGCCCAAAGCTGCTGGAGGACACAGGTTGAGTATTCTGTCCTCGGCGGCCTACAGAGTATGGCAGAAGATGAGACGGCCTGGTCTCGACATGATCCAGCAGAGATTGGACCGCCCCTACTGGGGAGCGGCAGCGGGGAGAAGCGCAGTGGACAGTGCGTGGGCCCTTGCTACAGACAACGAGCAAAATGTATGTCAAGACAGGTTCGTTGTCGCGGTAGTTGCAGACTACAGCAAGTACTACGAGACGATTGGGTTGGACCAGGCGCGCGACAAATTGATGCGCCTTGGTATGCCAGTTCCGATGGTCAAGGTGGTCTACAATCAATGGGAGGGGCCAAGGATCATACGGCTACGACTCCACCACGGGGGGGCCCCAAGGCATGCGAATGCCGGGCTGCCAGCAGGAGATGCGTATGCAGATGTGGTGATAAAGGCTCACGCCGTCGAACAGTACGACATGTGCGCGTCCTTGCATCCGCTGGTGCGCTTCGCCTCCTACATCGACGACACAGCCCTTGGCGTCAACAGCAGTGGCAAGCAGATGGTGATCGACCAGGCGGTGCATGCGACAAAAGGATTCTTCAAGGTTGCACGTGCATTAGGGGCCAGCATCAACGAGAAGCTTGCCATCATCTCTAGCACCAAGGCCATAAGTGATGAAGTCAGTCGTCGGCTACACCTTGATATGAAGATCAGCTTGAAGAGTACGGCATACTTGGGCACTGATGTTTCTGGAGGCGGGGCTCGGAATGCCAAAGGTACGCGTGGCAAGTTTCTGGCAAGACAGAGGGTGCATGGTGGAAGGCTTAGGAAGCTACGGAAGTTCAAGAAGGCGCTCGCTGCTAAAAAGACGGAGAGAATTGGGAAGATCTACCGTGTCGGTGCGAGGCCTGCGTATACCTTCGGGGCCGAGGTCAACGGGGTCAACGATGCGGAACTCCTGAAGTTAAGGCGGGACTGCAACAAGCACGTCGAGCCCAACCACGGCGGCGCCTCCGCGAGCGCGAAGACGGTGCTGCTCGGCGACCCTGCTGCCACGCAAGCACTGGCTCCTGCCCTCCAATGGTCAAGGATGGTGTGGGCCGCCACAGCCAGACCTGCTACCGCAGCTGTGCCTCTTGCATTGCTGGAAGCCTGGTGGAGAAGGGCAGTTGCCGAACCTGGAGTGGTCAAGCAGTGGAGTAAGACACGTGGCCCCCTTCAACGTGCAGCGCTTTCAGTACAACGAGCTGGGTGGCAAACGCGTGCAGGGCTACTCTGGATCAACCATCGAGGCGATGAGGTGCATGTAGGGCAACTCACTCCTGGCCTTCTTGAAATGATGCTGAGGCAAGGCCTGGCAGTGCAGCATAAGAAGGCTCTAGCGGAGAAGTGGGACATGCAGCCTTACACAGGAGTTACCTTTGATATTCTTCGGCGACATGTTAAGTCGAGGAAGTTCAATAGATATCAGAAGTTCTGTATCATGAACTGTGCTTGTGATGGAGTATGGACACGGCAAAAAGCAAAGGAGAAAGGTTACCTCACGGGCGGCAAGTGCGAGTGTGGGGATGCGGACACGCTGGTGCATAGGCTGGCGGAGTGTACTCGGCCAGAAGTCGTAGAAGCACGTCGAGAAGCTGGAGTCCCCGAGTCTTTCCTTCAGGAGCTCCGCCAAGCGCCAGACGACCGAGTCATCACCCAAGGGGCCTTTGCATATCCTGAGTGGGAAATTCCTGACATGCAGCTTGGCACTGGCAGCGTGATTCTAGACGGTGATGGCAATGACTTCGATTGCACGCCCGAGACCATGGCTGCGACAGTGCTTGCTGACACGGATCTGGAGATGGAGCTTTCGTTCGATGGGAGCTGTACGAAGCCAGACATTCTGGAGCTCCAACGTGCTGGATGGGCTATCGCTTTAATGGATCCACATTCGGACAAAGTACTATGCACGATGCACGCCCCAGTGCCAGCGTCGCTTCCGCAGTCCTCGGCGATGGCGGAGTACCTAGCCTACGCGTACACAGGACAGGTGGCAGATCGACCTGCTGATGGCTACGCGGACTTCATGGGGACGGTGAGGATGGCGGCTCTCGCGCACGAGCAGCAGTTACGTTCAAAGTCGGCATACGCGTGCGTGGCCATGTTCGCCCAGAGCCTTCCTGGTTTCCACCTCCTCCGCAGCGTGACGCACGTGAAGGCACATCGTTCGGGAGCGGAGTATGCTGGCCTGGATATGGCTACAAGAAGGCTCACATATGCCAATGTATATGCGGACGTAAGAGCCAAAGCTGGCGCGGCGATGCATGCAGCAATCAGCGAGGATTTCGCGAAGGCTATCGACACGGCCACTGTGAGGATCAAGAACTTCGCGAAGCTGGTTGCGGCAGTGTTACCGTTGTTTGATCGTGATGCTCAAGAGCGATGGACACGGCGAGCAGCCCAGGCCAAGAGGGTAAGGAGTACGCGTACTGACGGATGGCACCAGGGGGAGGAAGAAAATTTCGGTCTACAATGCAAGGCGTGCTTGAAGATCAACAGCCCAGGGACGGAAGTTATGCTCAATGGTTGCGCTGGCACCCCTACCTTCCTCGAGGCCTTCCTCAACCAACCACTCGGACATTACCTAGTGGCGGTGAACCAGAAGGGTGACGGGCTCAGCGACGACGCGGTCCCTGCGGTCTTTGTGTGTATTGGCTGTGGTGCTTGGGCGCAACAACGTCGACGGCAGAAGCTCAGGAGGCAGTGCAAGCCGCCAGCCCGACAAGGCGTATAAGTGCTGATGAATCTTCGACGGGGTTTGGGCCCACACAAGACGCCGGCGAGGCATATGGACATGACGCCCCCCCTGTGCAGGCTGATGCCCAAGGCCCTGCCCCCTCTGCTTTCGAGGACTTGTGTCGCTCGACCTGTGGCGATGGCGGAGGACACGGGGTACGAGCACAAGTTGGCAGCCATGATGGAAAGGATCAAGGCAAAGGAAAAGGCGAAGCGTGACCAGGACGACGACAACACGATCCTCGGACGCACGCGACACGCAGTTCCCGAAGCGGCCGATCCACAACATGGGGATAGTGCTGGCACGGGAACGGGGACGCCCACTGAGTCACTGGTGCCCACTGAGCCTGAGGGACCTCAGCGTCGCCACGTTATTGATGTGCCCCCTTCGGCACAACTTTGTGGTGATCCCCTACCCGCCCCTGATGAAGACGGAGTCGGTGCTGGTGACGGTGCGCGCTGCAGCCGCATCGGAAAGGAGGCAGGAGCAGGGCCTCAGACGAGCGGCGAAGGTGGAAAGGAGGCAGGAGCAGGGCCTCAACCACTTGACGGAGACAGCGCTTTCGCCAGGGACCGTCTCGGAAAGGGGGCAGGAGCAGGGCCCCAACCGAGCGGTCGCGGCGGAAAGGAGGCAGGAGCAGGGCCTCAACCGCTTGATGGAGGTGTGCAGCAGCGAGGACGAGCACGGCAGCCAAGTCTCTGGGCCCTTTTTCAGGCGGCATCGGGACGGCGTACTGAGGGCGGGCAGAAGGGCCATGGGCCGAATCCCATGGGCAGGGCAAGCGTGGGTCTCGAGCAGCAGACGTTGGAGGCAATTATGGGCGCCCCGGCGCTCAGCGGCAACCGCAGCGGGAAACGTGCTGCCCGAGGCCGCGCAGAGGTTGTTGGCAGATATCGAGGCCAGGCTGTGGCTGCGGTGGCAAGTACTACGAGGAGTACTTCGAGAAGAAGGGCGGAGCCAGCGGCCATGGAGGCGCCCCGCCAGAGGCAGCACGTACTGCGTGCTCCTTCCGCGGGCGCACTCCAGGGAGCTGCTGGCGCTACGACGTGGGGTACTGCGAGGAGTGCGTCCTGCGCAGCGCCTGTGGCCCTGGATGTGTCTCCCAGGGGCGGCGCGGAGGCGGCTGGTGCGATCCGCCCTAGCCGCCTGCCCCCTGCGCGGCGAGGGGTTAGGCCGCAGCGGCTGCGGGCAGCGCCCGACGCGACGCAGGGAGCTGCTGGAGCTACGTCGTGGGGCACTACGCGGTGCACTCCATGCGCAGCGCCTGTGGCCCTGGATGTGTCTCCCAGGGGCGGCGCGGAGGCGGCTGGTGCGATCCGCCCTAGCCGCCCTTCCCCTGCGCGGCGAGGGGTTAGGTCGCAGCGGCTGCGGGCGGCGCCCGACGAGACGCAGGGAGCTGCTGACGCTACGACGTGGGGTACTACGCGGAGTACTCCTTGCACGGCGCCTGTGGCCCTGGAAGTCTCCCAGGGGCGGCGCGGAGGCGGCTGGGGCGGTCCGCCCTAGCCGCCCTTCCCCCTGCGCGGCGAGGGGTTAGGCCGCAGCGGCTGCGGGCAGCGCCCGACGAGACGCAGGCGCCGAGCGCCGAGCTGGCGACGCCGCTGGCTCCCGCGCTGAGTGCTCGCGTCCGCGGGCGCTCGGGCGCGGCGGCCCCCGAGGGGGCGACCTGCGACCGCGGGAGTGTCTTCTTCTTCTTCTCCTCCTCCTCCTCCTCCTCCTCCTCCTCCCCCTCCTCCTCCTCCTCCTCCTCCTCCTCCTCCTCCGCCTCCTCCTCGTCCTCGTCCTCCTTCTCGCCCTCCTCCTCCTGCCTCCTCCTCCTGCCTGCCTCCTCGTGCCCCCCCCCGCCCCGCCCTGTCCTGCCCCCCCGCCGCCGCCCGCGCGCGAGGCACGTCGGGCCGAGCCAGGCGGCGCGGGCCAACTTCGAGCTGCTGAGAAGCCTGGCCGTGGCCGCGGAGGCCCGCCCCCCCCCCCCCCCCGCCCGCGCGGGCTGCGGGCTGCGGGCCGGCCTGCTCGGCCGCGGGCTTCCCGACCCCCCTCCAGGGCCGGAGGAGAGGGGGCATGGGGATGGGGCGGGGAGGAGGGGAGAGGAGGAGGAGGAGGAGGAGGAGGAGGAGGAGGAGGAGGAGGAGGAGGAGGAGGAGGGGGAGGAGGAGGCGGAGGAGGAGGCGGTGGATGAGGAGGCGGAGGATGAGGCGGAGGAGGCGGAGGAGGCGGAGGAGGAGGAGGAGGAGGAGGAGGAGGAGGAGGAGGAGGAGGAGGAGGAGGAGGAGTATTAATAATACAGCGACGAAGGAGACGACTACGAAGTAGGCCACGAATAATTAGAAACCGGCGAATTGTATTGATCGAGTCATGCTAGCAGTAATAACACTGCGAATCGTAATACTCGCAATCGTACTGCTGATCGTGAGGATAAGGCTAATTCTTGCAATGCGAAGAAGACTACACCGATATATCATACTACGAAGACTACTATTTGCCAGGAACATGGCTGCAGTAGTACTTCAACAATAGGACTAATAATTGCACGACTAATACTGCGAAGGCTAGTAAGCAATAATATTGAAACACAGACGACGCATATTGAGACGACGAACGCTGTTAATCAGACTGCCAATAATTCCAGTACGCAAGCCAATGATACTACTAATACGGATACTACGTAGACATCGTAAGGCGATTCATACTACCACGCACACGAACACCATCAAACACATCTGTAACATTACCCATACTACTACTAAGCCTACATGCGGCGCTACTAATAATACAGTTAAGAATGGGACGGAACAGCCGAACACGACAAACACGCCTACGACTACATATACGTATCACTATACTGCTAATCCGAAAACGCAGAATACGCACACTAGTAATACGACCACCAGCACTAACGCTACATCATAATAGTACAGATAATATTCGAATAAGGCGAATACTAATCGTACGACTTATAATAATACGGCTTGTACCACCAGGAACACGAGTAAAACGACTACGAAGAGTACGACTATGTATAATTCGAATAATGCTACTAAGCGTACTAATAAGATCACTACTGATAGTAATGCGACTGAACTAATAAGAACAATACGAGGCATAAGAGGATGAGGAGGAGGCGGAGGAAGAGGAGGAAGAGGAGGAGGAGGACCAGTGCAAACTCACGAGCCATCAGCGATGTATGTTGGAAAACACCCGCCCTCCAAGCTCCCTCTTCATAGGCTCCTACAGCGGCTCACTTCCATTGAGGGAACTGCCTCGTTGGAAGGCAAGCGATTGAAGACCCTGAAGTATGCCAAAACATAGCCTTCGGGATTCCAGCGCCACAGATCAACCAGATAGCTGCGTCTTGACGATCCTGGATCGTGCCAAAAACGCAATTGTTGTGATTTCAACACAGCGAACCCGCGTAATTGTTGCACCTGCAGAATCTGGAAGCCTTCCAGGACACCATTTCTGGTACGTTGATCATGAGAATCCGTGAAAATCTTCCAAATTCTAAAAAGAATGCGAGCGGCGCTAAGGCGCGGCGCTGGTGGCTGAGTGGTACGGAGCCGATGCAGACCCATGGGGCGCCGTAAGGAAACGTGTCAATGACAGATGTATCGAACACATTTCAGTACTGACCACGGAGTCGCACAGCACGCCAACGGACATCGTGGACGGTCAAATCCCACCAGCCCTCTGGGCGTCGGTGGTTTAGGGCGGTTTCTCTTCCACCCCTCCTTTCCCTTCGGGGAGGGGTTTATCCCTGTTCCCTATTAATGAACACCCCCTCCCCCAGGCGACTGGGGGCCAACCCAGGTCCATGCCAACACCCCCCCACAATCCTTTTGTAAAAAACAATGCAACACACACTCTGCCTCCAAATTCGGAACATGCACAGCCAACCCGATGCGCCCCCCCCACCCACCATCCCTGTCAACAAAACAATACAGAGTACACTTGGCGGAGGCGGCGGCGGCTGCGGCGGCGGCGGCGGCGGCTGTGGCGGCTGCGGCGGCGGCGGGGGCGGCGGCGGCGGCGGCGGCGGCGGCGGCGGTGGCGGCGGTGGCGGCGGCGGCGGCGGTGGCTGTAGCGGCAGCGGCTGCGGCGGCGGCGGCGGCAGCGGCGGCTGCGGAGGCGGCGGTGGCGGCAGCGGATTGGCCCCCAGTAGCTACCCATCCAAAGACGACTGCTGAATATGCTGAGGCTCGTGCCAGACTCGGGTGCTACGTATGTGTTGGGAGGGCGGGTGGGAGTGAGCGAGACGGCTTGCGGGCGGGGGGGGTGTCTTGACCCCTCCCCCTACCCCTCCCCATGGACCTGGAGGGGGGGGGGGGGCGCGATGTGTCAGAGCGTCCAAAATGGCCTCGGCGAGGAAGCCACAATCATGGATTTCATCAGGGTTTTGGCAGCATTTCGGCCTCCTGGGGGGGGCGAAGCTAATTCATATTCTGCACTTCTTTGATAGATCTCCTCCAAGCTGGCCCCAAGAAGCGCCCAGGAGGCACCAATAGGTCCCAAGATGACCCCAAGATGGCCCCAAGAGGCCCCCAAGAGGCCCCCAGGAGGCCCCCAAGAGACCCCCCAGATGCCCCAAGAGACCACCCCAGAGGCACCCAAGATGCTCCAAGAGGCCTCGGCGAGAATGCCACAACGGCCCCGGCGATGAAACCCAACTCATTGGTTTTACTAAGGTTTTGGCCCCATATGGCCTGGGGGAGGGGGACGCTAATTCATGCTCCCCTCTGGATTGATCGATCTCCTTCAAGATGACCCCAAGAAGCGCCAAGGAGGTCCCAAGATGTCCCAAGATGGCCCCAAGATGGCCGCAAGAGGCCCCCAAGAGGCCCCCAGGAGGCCCCCAAGGGACCCCCACGAGGCCCCACGATACCCCCCAAAGGCACCCAAGATGTTCCACGAGGCCTCGGCGAGAATGCCAAAACGGCCTCGGCGAGGAAGCCAACGTCATTGGTTTACCAGGGTTTTGGCTCCATTTTGGCCTCCTGGGGGGCGACGCTAATTCATACTCCCCTCTTGCTTGATCGATCTCCTCCAAAATGGCCCCAAGAAGCGCCCAGGAGGCCCCAAGAGGTCCCACGATGGCCCCACGATGGCCCCAGGAGGCTCCCAAATGGCCCCCAGGAGGCCCCCCAGAGACCCCTAAGATGCCCCAAGAGACCACCCCAGAGGCACCCAAGATGCTCCAAGAGGCCTCGGCGAGAATGCCACAACGACCCCGGCGAGGAAGCCCAACTCATTGGTTTTACTAAGGTTTTGGCCCGGGACGCTAATTCATGCTCCCCTCTGGATTGATCGATCTCCTTCAAGATGACCCCAAGAAGCGCCAAGGAGGTCCCAAGATGTCCCAAGATGGCCCCAAGATGGCCGCAAGAGGCCCCCAAGAGGCCCCCAGGAGGCCCCCAAGGGACCCCCACGAGGCCCCACGATACCCCCCAAAGGCACCCAAGATGTTCCACGAGGCCTCGGCGAGAATGCCAAAACGGCCTCGGCGAGGAAGCCAACGTCATTGGTTTACTAGGGTTTTCGCTCCATTTTGGCCTCCTGGGGGGCGACGCTAATTAATACTCCCCTCTTGCTTGATCGATCTCCTCCAAGATGGCCCCAAGAAGCGCCCAGGAGGCCCCAAGAGGTCCCACGATGGCCCCACGATGGCCCCAGGAGGCCCCCAAATGGCCCCCAGGAGGCCCCCCAGAGACCCCCAAGCGGCCCCAAGAGACCCCCCAGAGGCACCCAAGATGCTCCAAGAGGCCTCGGCAAGAATGCCAAATCATTGATTTCACGAAGGTTTTAGCCACATGTTGGCCTCTTGGGTGGGAGCGCTGATTAAGATGACTCCAAGAGCGCCTGGGAGAGCCCAAGATGACCTCCCTCTGCTGCTGCTGCTGGCTCATCGCTCTTGCATGCCTGGCAGCCATGGCGGTCCCCCCGCTGTCGCGCGAGTCGAAGTCTCAGTTCCTGCTGGACTCGAGGTCAACCTCACTTGCGCCGTCAGGGACATCGGGCATGTTGGAGCCTCCACCTGGAGACCTTCGACCTCTACACCAGCCGCCTGCTACGTGGGCGGTGAAGTGGGCAGCTCCTGGTCTCCCAACGGACACCATGGGCCAGGTGCTACTGGGTCCTCATACGTCAGTCTCGTACCAGTACCTGCGGTGCCAGTACTACAGTTTCGCGACCTTGGCATTGGCGCCCACGACCGCGGAGGTGGAGCACAGCCTTTTCCCCAAGGAGCGGGCGAAGCACGGCAAGCGCAGTGCCAAGGACAAGAAGTTCGTGAAGGACAAGAAGGAGAAAAAGGAGAAGAAGGAGCGAAAGAGCAGCGTGAAGGGCAAGACCGTGGGAGTCAACGAGCTGGAGTCCAGGGCGGCGGACTAACCGAGTTCTACGATCTGAGTGCCCGAGGTGTGCAGGGAGGACCAGGTGCTGTTGATGACCGTGCCTCTCTGTGCCTTTCCAAGCACGAGTGCTTCGATGGCGGCGAACCTTTCGAGTTCTTTGTGGAGAACGGCCTGGAGGGTAAGCAGTCGGACGGTGCTCACATTTTTCCTCAAGAAGCCGCTGGGGATCAAGGCGAGCGTGAGGGGCAAGAACATGAGCTTCCAGAATCCAAAGTTCCTGCAGCTGACCTTCTTCATGCTGCTGGTGACTTGCATCCCGACGGAGGAGGAGGCGAAGTGCGACAGCTTCTCGGAGACGATCGCGGCGACCCTGTTCAGTATCTACATCAAGAAGTTGCTAAATCTAAACTTTATCCTGACGCTGGTGGCGTGGCAAACTCCAGCGAGTATGACCCCAAGATTTTCGCCGCAGAGAGTTCGTGTGCTTCGAGCATTGTTCCTCCTGCGAGTGTATCGTGTACGGCGTCGTCTCCTCTCGACGACCGTTTGCAGCTGAAGGACGTTGTTGCCGTCCTCGAGGGTATGTCGAAGCTCTCCGTCCGGCAGTGGAGGCAGGTGGAGGCGCGGTTCCGCCTGTCGTGGAAGCAGGCCTCGAAGCCCTTGCGCGGGGCTTACGCGGCGCTGGCTGAGAAGGGGGACTTCGACGTGGCTGAGCTGGTGGACTTGTTCGAGGCCGCTGTTGCTCATGAGATGGGGGAGAGTACGAGCTAGAGTGCGACATCATCAATTCGGTGCTGTCCTTCGCGGATTGGGTGCCGGTATCGTGTGGGCCGTGCGGGTCGGCCTCACGTGCAAGAACTTCGAGATGCTGAGCTTCCTCACCTAAGCCTCCGCGCGCTCACGCTTCTGCAGTGTCGTTCGGAGATGTAGCCTGTGAAAAAAGTGCTGCTGCTGCTGCTGCTGCTGCTGCTCTCATCACCCGAATGTCGATGCAGGGCCCGCTTGGGTGTAGGAGGAAATGTTTCTGTTGTCTGGGCTCCGCCGCTCAGGCCAAGTGCAAAGAGTGGTGAAGCTCACCTTCTCCGAGCCTGTTCAATGTGAGCGGGTGATGTCATCACCGTCGGCTGGCTGCAGAGTGCACGTGGCGTGGGGTTTGCTCCGTCCCTCGCATCCCCTCAATGTGCGGACGCATAGATTTGGGTTCGTGGTAGATGTGGGGCGATAGCTGACAAACATCCCCGTGCATTTGGCAAGCGCAGCGTTTACCTTGAGAACTCGTAAAGCTGGAAAGGCCCTGAGGGGCCGATAATAATATGAACCACAGGCATTGGCATCGCCATTGGTACCTGCCCCTGCTACCCCCCGTCTCCCTCTCCGCCTCCGCCTCTTCCTCCGCTCGAGCGCGTTCGTCCTCCGCTCTCCGCCTCTGGTGCCCCCCCGCGGCGCCGCTGCTCCCGCCGACTGTCCGCTGTCCGCCGCCTGCCAGTGCCCCGCGAGGCCAAGGCTAGCTTCGAGTCCCGTCTCGAGCTGGATGAGGACCGCCCTGGTGCCCTCCCCCCAGCGATGACGACGAGCAGGCCAGGCAGGATCTGGAGGAGGACTTGGGAAAGGAGGACCAAGAGGTGGGGGAGGAGGAGGAGGAGGCGAAGGAGGAGGAGGAGGAGGAGGAGGAGGAGGAGGAGGAGGAAAAGGAGCAGGAGGAGGGGAGGCGGAGGAGGAGGAGGAAAAGGCGGAGGAGGAGGAGGAGGCGGAGGAAGGAGGAGGAGGAGAAGGATGAGGAGAGAGGAGGAGAGGAGGAGGAGGAGGAGGAGGAGGAGGAGGAGGAGGAGGAGGAGGAGGAGGAGGAGGAGGAGGAGGAGGAGGAGGAGGAGGAGGAGGAGGAGGAGGAGGAGGAGGAGGAGGGGAGGAGGAGGAGGAGGAGGAGGAGGAGGAGGAGGAGGAGGAGGAGGAGGAGGAGGAGGAGGAGGAGGAGGAGGGTCAGGAGGAGGAGGAGGCGGAGGCGGAGGCGGAGTAGGAGGAGGGGGAGGAGGAGGAGGCTCTGGAGGAGGAGGAGGATCTGGAGGAGGAGGAGGAGGAGGATGAGGCGGAGGAGGGGGAGGAAAAGGATAGGGTGGAGGAGGAGGAGGACGATGAGGATGAGGAGGAGGAGGAGGAGGGAAGGCGGAGGATGCGGAGGAGGAGGACGAGGACGGGGACGGAGGGAAGAGGAACAACAGCAGCAGAAGGAATGGTAAGTGGATGAAGATTCGGTTGACGGGGGGGGACGTGGGTGAGGATGGTATGACGGTGACGTTGGCGATCGCAACGAAGTCGAGGAGGACGATGACAATGATGGTGACGACGATGGTGATGAGGGAAAAGGCGAGGAGGAAAGTCAGGATACGTACCACGTATTTTAGTAACGTGATGATGGTGCTGCTGGTACTGATGAGGAGGATGAGGATGATGAGGAGGATGATGCCGATGATGATGCTTATGATGATGATGCTGATGCTGCTGCTGATGATGATGATGTTGATGATGATGATGATGATGATGATAGTGATGATGAGGATGATGATGCTGATGCTGCTGATGATGCTGATGACGATGCTGCTGATGATGCTGAGGATGCTGATGATGACAATTATGCTCATGATGATGCTGATGATGATGACGACCATGACGATGCTGCTGCTGATTATGATGATGACGCTGATGATGCTGCTGATGATGATTCTGATGATGATCATGCTGATGATGCTGCTGCTGATGCCGATGTTGATGTTGGATGTGGTAATGAGGGTGATGGTGGTGATGATGATGACGATGATGCTGATGCTGATGCTGATGCTGATGCTGATTACGATCCTGATGCTGATGATGACGATGTTGATGCTGATGACGACGTCATGCTATGATGACATGAGGATGGCTTGATATGATGAAAACGCTGCTTCTGATACTGCAGCTGTTATTTCTGCTGATGATGCTGATGCTGATGCTGATGCTGCTGATGATGAGGCATGGTCAGCAGGAGGATTAGGACGCTGCTGCTGCTGCTGATGATGATGATGATGGTGAGGAGGAGGAGGAGGAGTAGGAGAAGGAGGAGGAGGAGGAGAAAAAGGAAGACACTTCGGAGGAGGAGGAGGAGGGGGGGAGCAGGAGGAGGAGGGAGGACGACGGCTAGAGCTGTCTGAGAGCCAGAGCCCCCCCTGGGTCGTCGCGTGGCCAGGATCCTGACCATTCTTTCTCTGCGCCTGGTCGGTGTTCGCCCGAAACCGGCCCACGTTTCACTCGAGCTCGGCGTCGGGGGCGCGAAGGCAGGCCTCCTCCTCCCCTCCTCCCTCCTCCCTCCTTCTTCTCCCTCCTTCTCCTCCTCCCTCCTCCCTCCTTCTTCTCCTCCCTCCTTCCTCCCCTCCTCCCTCCTCCCCTCCTCCCCTCCTCCCTCCTTCTTCTCCTCGGCCTTGGAGCGGCGGCGGCCGTCGCGCGCCGCCTTCCCCGCGGCGCAGAGCACGATGTCGGCTGCCCTGGGTGACCGGCTGCTGGCCCCTCGCAACCTCCTCCTCGTCTTGGAGCAATAGTGTTAAGTCGGGCGTGTCCCCCTACAGGGGGATTTTCGACGAAAGATAAGAAATACCCACAACATAGCCAAAAACAGTCAAAACATTGTCTGGGGACGATTCTTTTGAAGCATGTTTTGACCATTTTGGGGTATCTTGGGGGTATTTTTGATTTTTCGGCAAAGATCCCCCTGTAGGGGAACAGACTTAACAATAGTGCTTGGTTTTGGAGCAGTGCTTGCGCTGTTTCGCCTGGGGATCTTCTCCCGGGCCTGTGATCCCCGGACGCGGTTCCGAGCAGCTTCGCCCCTGCTCCTCGTCCGCCCCTCGGGTCCGCCCCTTGTCCACGTCTGCTCGGGTGAAGCATGCTGGGGGACCGCCTGCGAACCCTGCACGCCGGCCGTTGAAAGCAGGTATTTTTTTGGACTCCCAGATCCCATATCTACCTCGAGCGCCTTCCTACTTCAAGGATCGACCTGATTTTGCTGTGCTCTGTTATTTCTCTGGGAGGGCCTGGACCCAATCCACTTACTCCGCCTTCCTACTTCATGTTTTTACCTACTTCTTCCGACCGACGTGTACCCCTAACCCCCACGACTTCTGAGGAGTAGGGGTGGGGTTCGCATGTGGCCCCCTAAATGCTCAGTGAAACATCTCTTCAGCAACGGATGGCCATAACTCGTAACTTTCCAATCGTAGCACGGATGGACGTTGGCTTTGGGGGCCTCTTGGGGGCCTCTTCGGGCATGTTAATGTTGGGAGTTTTTTGGGCGCCTTCTTGCGGTCTCGGGTGTCCTCTTGGGGCGGGGGGCCCAGAATGTCAGTTCGAGTTGCCTCTCGGGCTCCTCTTGGAGCCCTGTTGGGGCCCCCTGGGGTCATCTTGGGCGCCTCTTGGGCCGTCTTGGGGCTCTCTTCGGCCGTCTTTGGGCCCTCTTGTGGGCTTCTTGGGACCTCTTAGAGCGATCTCGGGGGCCTTTAGAGCCGTCCTGGACGCTGTTGAGACCCAAGCGCGAATCTGCTAAACGTATCAGTTTCCCTTCAGGCTTGGGACGATCTTTGCTGCTTCTTGTGGCCCTCTCGGGGGTCGTCTTGGAGGCCTCTTGGGCAATTTTGATTCCATTTTGGCTGTTTTTGACGCCTCCTCGGCGTGTTGGAGCACAGCTTGAGCCAGCTTAGACGGCATCTTGGCCATCGTGGATGCCACGAGGTGTCGATTCGGAGGCCCTGGAGGCCCTGGGGGTGCGCTGGGGAGCCCAGAAAGCCACCCCTCTAGCGTCAACCCGCAGAGTAAGAGTGGGCAACCTTCCCAAGGATGCCCTTGCATCCTTGCCTCCTCGGTCCATCCTTGGCCACTCTCGCTGGCCGCGCCTCGCTCGACGAGCTTCGAGCTGGGCGTCCGAGGCCCTTGCACCCTTGCCGCGCATCCTCATGCTACGGGTTGACCGTACGCGGATTTCCGACTCCCGGGGGAGGGTGAAAGCCGGAAAGGGGGAGGTTGCCTTCGCAGAAGGGCCCAGAGGCTTCCAAGGCGGCTTCGGAGAAGCCTCCAAGGCTCTTTCTGCGGTTGGCGCTGGGGAGGTTGCGTGCGCTGTGGCACCGTCGGCCCGCTTGTCGCACGCTATCCCCCGCCCTGGGCATAGCGTGCACCGCATGAGCCCTGGCAGGGGGACAGTCAGCGTGCCCAGTGGGGGGGGTGGCAGCCAGTCATCTCACACGCCTTCGCACCCCTGGCAGGCGGGGTCGGCGGAGCCTCCAGACTCAGAAGAACTTTACGCCGCGTGCGGCTTTCGACTTCGTGTGCGATGCCTGCCGCCTCCCGTTGTGCTGCTTGCGGGCAGCTGCTGCTGACTCTGATGGGCCTGTTTTCCACCACCACCACCATAAGTTGGAGGGGGAGGGGGTCCTCCTCCTCCTCCTCCTCCTCCTCCTCCTCATCCTCCTCATCCTCCTCATCCTCCACCTCTTTCCCCCCAAGTTATGGTGGTGGTGGTGGAAAACAGGCCCATCAGACTCGTCCTCCTCTTCCTCCGCGTCTGCTGTGGGGCTCCTTGGGTCAGCTGGGCAGCGGGGCAGTCACCTGCCTCGGCACTGCCGCGAGGCCGGCGGAGAGGGCCTCGAGTCCAACAAAGAGGGGCCTCTGGGTGTCCTCTTGGGGCCTGGGGCCCTCTTGGGACGTCCTGCGTGCCTTCTGGGAACATGCTGGGGGCCTCGGGGGCCATCTTGTGGGGGAGGCCTCCCGGGTCCCTGCGCAAGTTCCCCCCCCTTTGTGCCTCTGTTGGGCTCCTGCTGGGTCGTCTTAAGACGCTCCTGTTGGGTCTGTGCCTCTTTGAGGGCCTTTTTTGATTGTCTTGGGGACCTCTTGGGTCGTCTTAAGCCACTTCTGGGGCGTTTCTTTGCCTTCTTGGGGGCCTCCAGGACCAGTCTGGGGGGCCTCATGGGCCTTCCTGGATTCTTGAAGTACGAAATGGCTCCTCCTGTGCTCGTGCCCTCCTGGCCATCCTTTTCCGCCCGTGCCCCGGCCAGGAGGACGAGACAGATTCCGAGGACGAGTTCGTCCGCGGCTTCGGGAAGTGCGCGCGACAATGGGTGGATGGGGGATCTGCTCTTCGTGTCTGTGCATGCCAGCAATAGCCGCGTAGTTCAACCGCGCCTGCATCATGCAAAGGCGACGTGTTCCGATGTGTGGGCGGGTTCTGCATCACGTCACCAGAATGCCGACGACCAGTTTTTTATTCAGATCGAAGCGGACCCCATCGAGTCGGTCACGTCCAAGTCGGTTCACCACCAGCCGAGGCATGTCATTTTGAGTTGGGGTGCTCCTCTCGGCCATACCGAGCCAGAACGAGATGGCACTGCTCTGGCGGACAGCAATGGTCATCGCGTTTTGCCGTCTGAGTTTGGCCAGAGGCTAGGCGAGGCGTGAGGTACCTCGCTCCTGGTGGCCGCGCGGCCATGTTGTTCCCAACCATCCTCTGGCGTTGGGTCCTCGTTTTGAAGACACAGTCTCCGTGCCTCCTCCTTCTCCTCTCCTCTCCCCCTCCTCCCTCCTCCCAACTCTGCCTCTGCCCTCCGAACGTCCGCATCGTCATTCGCCACACCCTTCGCACGTTTCGTGGCCCCTCAGGGGACCCCCACCCAAGAACCCAGAGGCAGGTTTCGCATGGCGTTCCCCCAATTCGGCACATCCTTCAGACGTTTGGTGGCCCCGTAGGGAGCTCCAGAGAATGCCCCAGCCTCAGGGTTCGCATGACGTACCCGCTCCTAATTCGGCACATCCTTCAGACGTTTGGTGGCCCCGTAGGGAGCTTCACCACAGGCCCCAGCCTCAGGGTTCGCATGGCGTACCCGCCCCCAATTCGGCACACCCCTCACACGTTTCGTGGCTCCTTGGGGGGCTCCACTGACGGCTCAGCGGCGGGGTTCGCATAGCGCACCCGCTGCCAATTCGGCACATACCTCGCACATTTCATGGCACCAGATGGGTCTTCAGCGAAGGCCCCAACGGCAGGGTTCGCATGGCGTGTCAGCCCCCAATTCGGCGCTCCCCTCACACGTTGTCGTGGCCCCGTAGGGAGCACCGAAGGCCCCAGCGGGAGGGTTCCCATGGCGTGCCCGCCCCCGATTCGGCACCCCTCTCACACGTTTCGTGGTGGTATGCGTCGTAGCGCTAGTAGTCGTGCGTACATATCGCTGTTGCTGTTGCAAGAAGCATGCATTTTCACACCCTCGCGACGCAGACACGGACACCATTGGGTTTTGATGTGTGACGGGGTCGTCAGTTCCAATGTGTTCAGTTTGTGGGTTCGATGGCATGTGTGGTGCCGCTTCCTTTGTTTTTTGGTGGTTCCGAGTGGCAACCAGTTCAGATGCTGGATGGCTTGATACAAAGTGTAACGGGTTCGTCTTGCTTTACAATTTTAGTTGATTGTTGTTGAGTTAGCTTTTTATACCTCCAGCGTTGATGCTCCGATCAGTACACGCATGGCATCTTTTAAGCGTGTGACTTTTGCAACACGTTACACGTCTGATCTATTTCATTCGAATAATCGTAGTATATGTAGTAGTTTTGGTATTGATGGCAGTGGTATTGTTAGTGGCATTGGTAGTCGTATTATATCAGCAACAGTCGCAGCATCAGTCGTAGTGACTAGCTGTGGCAGCAGTAGCGTCGCTGGCAGTGGCAGTAGCAGTTGTGGGAGCGGGTGTGGTTGTGGTGGTGCAGCAATGATAACGCTCTGTCTCCTGCTATTGTTTGCTTACCCTTGTCGCTCTTTTGTCTCGATTGCCTCCCCGTGGAGGGTAGGCGGTGGGCTCGCAGCCCCGCCGGTGCGCGCAAGCTTAGGACACGCATCCGAAAAATTGCTTCTTTCAGTTCCTATTATTGATCCTTCCGGGTGCTGCAACAGACGCAGATAGCCCGGGGGGGAGCATTACGTATTACACCAGAGAATAACCCCAATCAGTGGATGGTTTGATCGATAAGGAGATCGACCGGGAACCCAGGAACCCGGAACCCACCCAAATCGGCCCGGAACCAATAACCAGGAACCCGGGAACCCGGAACCGGGAACCCGGGAATCCAGCGTGCGACCAAAATCGGCGGGAGAGTTTAGCCAAATCCTTCAATTTCCGCGAGGACCCCTTCAATGCAAGCACTGATTGGGGAATATCCAGGGGCTTCGATGGCCCATGTCTTTGCCGGGGCCCCCTGGGCGAATCCATGCAATGACCGCCACTGGGCCCCGGGCTATCGTGCCTTTCGCCTCCGCCGATTCTCTGATCCTTTGCCCTCGCTTTTCCTTGTTCTCTGAGTGTACACCTCATTCCTACCATCCTCCCTCCTTACGGTGATACACCTTTGCCTTCTGTGCCCGCGCTTGTCCTTCCCTTCGCATCCTGCACTCTACTTTCCACTCTTCCCTGGCAACGTCCAATCTTCAACCCGCCCCTCCAAAATATGTTTCCCAAGCAGTGCTTGCACTGGAGGGGTCCACGCGGAGGTTGAAAGATTGTCCAACAATGTTGGTTTCATTAGGCGGCCTGGTTTCCAGGTCATACGTTCTGAGCTCTGGTTCCTGGGTGTTTTCAGGGTTGAGCGAACGTGTGACCGATTTCAGTTGCTTGCCGGTTCTCTGGTTCCCGGGTTCCAGTTTCTCGGTGTTGGACAGTTTCTTGCTGATTCCGTTTGGCGGCTGGGTGGCAAGGCTCCTGGAGTATATAGTAGAGAAAGCAAAGGGGAAGAGAGAGAGAGAGGCTGGGTAGTATAGAGAGCGGAGGAAGCAGAACGAGAGAGAGAGAGAGTAAGGAGAGAGAGAGAGAGAGAGACAGACAGAGTTTGGAGCACGGGGTTAAGTTGGCCAGTTCGAACGAGTCAAGCCGCCCCGCCCATTCTCACCCTCCCCCCCGCAACATGAGATCCAATGGAGGCGCGGGTTGATATTAGGACCGGCGTGCGTTACCACCCGACGCACGAGAGGCTCCTATAGGGGCCCACATGCGAACCCTACCCCTACCCCCCACGATTTCTGAGGTGGAGGATGGGGTTCACTTCGCTCGAGAGCTCCCGAACGAAGTGAACCCCACCCTCCCCCTCAGAAATCGTGGGGTGTAGGGGTAGGGTTCGCATGTGACCTCCTATCCCAGGCGGGGTCCCGCTTCCGTCGGCTTTGGCGAGGGGAAATAGCACTGTCCGCACACGGGCGCAGCCGGAGCTTCCGCAGGATCTGTGCGCGGCGCGGCGTCGAGAGCAGCATTCGGCTTTCTCTCGCACGGGCAGGCTTCCGGAGGGTCATGGCGAAGACGAGTCATACGCCGCGCCGAAGCAGCATTTGCCCACGACTCGGCGGGCGAACAGCACGCGCCGCGCCGGCGCTGGAATGCCTCTTGCAGGTAAGACTTGCACGGGTCTTAGGCGAAGGCGACAATTCGCCCGATTCAGCGAGCGAAGAACGGTATACAATGAACTTTTTCGCCGTCGGGGACACCTGCCCCTGGGCGGCTGGAAAGTGTATACCCCTACGGTGCCACCGTGAGGGTATAAACATCTCCAGCCGCGCTGGGGGCAGGCGTCCCCGACGGCGAAAAAGTTTGTTTTATACCGTTCTTCGCCCGTTAGTCGATATCGCGCGGGATCGCGCCTCCGACGAGGCGCCCACGCAAGGCGCCACCTTCAGGAGAACTCTTCGCGGGGCCGAGGCGGGAGTGGCAATTCGCCCGCTCGCGTGTGACCCCCCCTCTATCTACGCACGGGCGAGCGGTACAGTGCGCGCCTCGCCAATTGTGCTACAGTCGGGGCGTTGACCTAAGGAACCCTAAATAAGGAACGAAGCCCCTTAATTCCATAAGTTAAACCTCGATTTACCGTTGAAAACCTGGGGAATACCCAGGGCAACCTGTAAAATAATCAAGGAACACCGAGCCCCTTCCCAACGAACAGGGTTCCTTCTTCAGCGCCCCGACTGTCATGCTGATGCTGGTGGCGGTGCGGGTGTTGGTGTTGCTCATGCTGGTCATGCGGACGGCGGGGCGGACGCTTGAGGGTCGGGAGGAGCCTGCACGCCCGGCGGGGAAGGGGCAGGGACGGCCGGGGGTGGAGCCGACAGCGATGCTGGAGGGAGCAGGCAGAGAGGAGGGTGTGTTATGTCGGGCGTGTCCCCCTACAGGGGGATTTTCGACGAAAAAAATACAACTACACCAAAGCTATTCCAAAAAAGGCAAAAACTATTTAAAGAATACCCCCAGACTATTTTTGGAGTACGTTTGGACTATTTTTGGGGTATTTTTTGTTTTCTCGTCGAAGATTCCCCTGCAGGGGGACAGGCCCGACATGAAGGGAGTGGGCAGAGAGGAGGAGGGGGGGGAGGCGCCGGATGAGGATGTATCAGGCGAAACCCATCCGGCGGAAGGCGCCCAGCAGGGCTGGCGGGTGCGGCCTTTTCGGGGAACCGATCGGCGCGGCTCAGGGGCCCTAAATGGCGGCGGCGGGAGCAAGCAGTGAAAGGAAGCGAACTGGAAGAGACAGAAGAGACAAGATGAGGTAAGAACTAAGATGGATGGGATCGGTTGTCACCGGAGAGGGGGCCGCCCCGCTGCAGGAGGCGCGAGCGCGGCGGAAGCCGAGCGGCCTCGTCCAGGCGGGCCTCCCGCCCCCCGCGCGCCGTGCCCCTCCGTCGGCCCGCGTCCTCGGGGGCCGCCCCGCCCCCTTCGCCTCCCTCCTCCTCCTCCTCGTCCTCCTCCTCCCTCCTCCTCCTCCTCCTCCTCCTCCTCTCCTCTCTCCTCCTCCTCTCTCCTCCTCCTCCTCCTCCTCCTCCTCTCCTCCTCCCTCCCTCCCTCCCTCCCTCCCTCCCTCCTCCTCCCTCCCTCCCTCCTCCTCCTCTCCTCCTCCTCCTCCTCCTCCCTCCTCCTCCTCCTACTCCTACTCCTCCTCCTCCTCCCGCCTCCTCCTCCTCCTCCTCCTGCCCTCCTCCCGTCCTCCTCCTCCTCCTCCTCTCCTCCTCCCTCCGTCTTCCTCCCGCCCGCCCGCCCTGCCCCCCCCTCCCTCAGGAGGAGGGGGAGGGGAGGGGAGAGGGGAGGGGAGGGGAGGAGGAGGAGGAGGAGGAGGAGGAGGAGGAGGAGGAGGAGGAGGAGGAGGAGGGGGAGGAGGAGGAGGAGAAGGAATAGGAGGAGGAGTAATAGCAGGATGATGAGGAATAGGTAGGAGGAGGAGAAGGAGGAGGCGGAGGAGGAGGAGGAGGAGTAGGAGGAGGAGGAGGAGGAGGAGGAGGAGGATTATAGTGGACCAGGGACCGGAAGACATGAGTACAGCAAGGAGGAGGATGAGGAGGAACAGCATATTGGAGGATGAGGTAGAGGAGGGAGAGGAATCAAGTTCTTAGCCGTTGTCGCGCACGGCGGGACGCCAAGCTCTGAAATCTGTTCTGCATTGCGTTTTTTGCATTGCAGTGTTTGTTGCTTTTCAGTTTTTTGGCACCGTAGTGGCGATGCTTGCGCTTGAGCTCAGGATTCCGCGTGAGAGCCAGGCGTGGTTCGGGGAGGTCGAGGGAAGATTGAACCGCACACGTCGGCGACGACCACGCGAGAAGCGTTGTTGCAGCTTCTGCTGCATCTGCGGTTTTTGTTGCGCTGTCGTCGAGCTGCTCGAGCCTGAGCTCAGGATTCCGCGCGGGAGTCAAATCGCGGTTCTGGGAGGTCCAGGGACGGTCGAAGCGCACATGCCTGCAACGACGGCGCGCGAACGCATTTTTGCATTGCAGTAGAAGTGCTTTTGCATTGCAGTTTGTGGCGCTGCTTGTTTTGCATTTGCGTGTTTTGCAGTTTTTTTTTTTTGCGCTGCAGTGGCACTGCTCGAGCTCGAGCTCGGGATTCCGCGTGGGAGCCAAGCGTGGTTCTGGGCAGGTTCGGGGAGGGCCGAGGCGCACGTGTCCGCGACGACCTCACGGCAGTCGGTTCGTTTTTTGCACTGCATTTTGCTTTGCAGCTTTTTGCATTGCGTTGTTTCTGCGTTGCGGATGGCTTCGAGAGATTTCCAGGAGGTCCCCAAGAGGGTCCCGAGAGGGTTCCAAGATGGTTCCAATACCAGGAGCCTCTGGTATAGTGCTTGGGGGGTCTGTATGAGGGGTCATCTTGTGACCTCTTTGGGGGCTCTTTCGGGCCCTCGTCGTCGTAGCCGGGGCTGGGACCGAAAGCACTGCTGCGTCAAGTTCGGCTGCGGCGGAACGGGAGGTGACGGGGGGAGGGACCATCAGCAGCCATGCCAGTTCTTTTGCCCCAGAGCAAAAGAAGGCACTGGGGTATAAGAACTTGTCGCCTCGAGCGGATTCGACGATGTAAGATAGGATGAGTATGCATGTGCAAGGACTGAGCCAGGCTATGCCTATTAATACGTGCCATCTTTGGGAGCAGTTCGGTCGCCTCGCAGTGAGTGCGTGTGTGTGTGTGTGTGTGTGTGTGTGTATGTGCGTGCGTGTGGGGAGCATTAACGCGCGCTAGAAGCGGAGGGGTATATTGAGAAGGAGGAGGAGGAGGAAGGGCAGGTGTAGAACCAGGAGGAGGAGGAAGAGGAGGAATATAGAGAGGAGGTGGAGAATGAAGCGGAGGACCGGTTGGAGCTGCGGGATGACGACGACGAGCGAGCGCGCCAGTCGAGGCATCACACGGATGAGCCTCCCACGTGCCTCGTTGGACGCGGCATGAAGGGCGGGCGCGTCCGCACTCGCCAGTTTTTCCCCCTCCAGAGCCTGCTCGGCACTGCCGCTGCCGTCCCTGGGAATCGCGTCGGAGGAAGACAGGGGAGGGGGGGGGGGAGGGGAGGGAGGGCTCGGAGAGGGACGGCGGATGGAGGCCGGAGGGGGGAGAGGCTGGAGTGGCAGGCAGGGGGGTGGGAGGAGGGTTGGGGGAGGACCGGGGGGAAGGCAGGACCCGAGGCGTTGGGGGGGGCATGGGGAGGTATGGGGGGAGAGGGAGGGAGGGGGGAGGAGGCACGGGGGAGAAGGGGAGGAGGGAGGAGGGAGGGAGGGGGGGAGTGATCAGGGAAGGGGAGATGGAGTAATCGGTCGATCCTATGTTTTGGGGGTGGGTGGGTCGCGCAAAGAGCAGCCTGGTGCACTGAGCAACGCTGATCGGACCAAGGTGTTCCTCCAGGTGGGCCCGCTGGGGCAGCGGGTTTCGACGGTGGCCCTGGGTTCCCCCCGTCTGGCCGTCCCTTTTGTTGGCAATGGGGGCCAGAAGGGGGACGACCGTATCAGGTTCGGGGGCCTTTCCGTCTTGCGAACGCGTGGAAAGTCGAATGTTGAAGACAGTATTGCGCTGGGCATCCGTCCGCGCGTAGCCCAGCCCCCAACATTCTGTGCGATTTGGCCTTGCCTGGCCGCTCCGTTAAGCCCATGGGGGGGCGGTCTTCTGGTGTCGCCGGAGAGAAGCACCAATTCCCCCCCCGGTATTTCGGCACATCAGCCAGCTCTTCCCGGCCTGGTTGCACACCTTTTATTAGATAGCTTTCGACATTGTACCCTCCTGTGATAGAGAAGGATAGTCGACCCGGAGGGCACGACTCAGTCATGCTCGGTTTTCCAGTGAGACCAGACCTAGCATTTACTCACTTCATGAGCTGATTTCTCGGGCTCGGTCACTTCTGTGTGGATTCGTTAGCTTCTGCATGGTCCGACCAGCTTCTGTGAATGGTATTATCTAATCGGCGTAATGCTAGATTCCGACCAGGCCTGTCTGGACTCCCCTCAGTGTAGGTCTGATTCTGTTGGTCCTCAGGCGATCACTTGTGAGCAGGAGTCCCTGACTTTGTTCCTGGTGTATCATCTGGGTGGCTCCGCTTTCGATCGAGGAGGTGGAGAGGGACGGGGTGAGAACGAGGAGGGAAGGAAGTGCTTCTGTTTTACTGTGCCTGCAAGCTGTCCACCGCGGGCAGATTTCTGGACGGCACGCCTGCAGGCGACCCAGTATGGGCTCGCGGCGGCGCTTACTTCGGGCTGCGCTTGGCGGCATTTGCCGCTCTGCTGTGATATAGTGCAGCGCGTTGCTGCTTCTGCATGACAGGGTGTGCATATTATGATACGGTCAAATCGGCCGAGCTGCATGAATCAGTCTGGGATCGTCAGGGCGGTCCTAATGTGGGCCACCCACCCCCCAGTTGTCCAGGCACGTCAGGATAGGGTAGCCCGCCGAGGCCTTCGGGACTTCTCGTGCTGCCCCCCCAGCTTGCGCAAGGCGAATCTTTGACTACTTAGCGGGGAAGGAGGAGCATGAGGAGGGGGGAAGACCGATCACGGGGGAACGGCGATGGAGAGTGGAGTCAGAGGGAAGGGCAGACGTAACTGAAGCATTCATGCGGTCGGGGATCTGGGAGTCGCAGATCCCCGAGGACCCAGGATTTTTCTTGTGAATCAGAAGCCGCCCTGGAGCAGGGGGGTTCGGATCTCGACGGTCGGGGAGCTGAGCACGTGGGCGAGTGGGGTGGCCCGTGGGAAGGTTCACGAGAGGGGGGTGGGAAGATTCACGAGAGGGGGTTCATGTGGGAGGACCGGCAATCCCAAGCGGAAGCCAACCACTTTCCAAATTGCGTTGATGGTGGTGCTGTTGATGCGGATCTGGTCGGCATTCGTCGTCGTTGAGGAGGGACAGGAGAGGGGGGGAGAGATGAGTGCGGATGGTTTAGGGACGAGGGAAGAGGAAGGAGGAGAAGGAGTAGGCGTGGAAAGGGAAATGTGCATGGTTCCCAGCGCATGATGCATAGTTGAAACAGGGGTGCCTCTGTTCCTGTCAGCCGCAGTTTCTGCAGATCCTCTGCACTGCCTTGAGGTAGTCGCATGTTTTTCTATTTTTCTGCTGCCAGCTGTGTGTCGTTCTGACGCGTCGCCGTCTGCACAGGTTTATCTTCCTCTTTTCAGCCCAGCTTGTAGGCCGGGCCCTAGAATTGACACTGTATTCGCGCTTCGCATCTCCCCACCAACCCATCCAGAAACGATGCCCAGGCGAGCTGTCGAAAGCACACCTCTTGGAGCCTCTCGGAGCTATCAAAGACGCTCAACCGCCGCCCCCTGCCCCTTTGGAAGCGCCTCTGTGGCCGACAGCTGGGCCAGAGCTTGGCCAATCTATCGGGCCAGTTGTTCCCCGAGTCGGTTTGGAAAGACTTCGGGGAACGCGTGGGCGAGCAAGAAGAGGAGGGGGAGGATGGGGAAACAAAATGATGAGGAGGAGGAGGTGGAGGAGGAGGTGGAGGAGGAGGAGGAGGAGGAGGAGGCCTCTTAGGCGCCTCTTGGGGCATTCTTGGGGCCTCCTCGGAGCTTCCTGGAGGCCTCTTGGAGGGTTTTTGGGGGCCTTTGGGGGCTTCTTGGGGGCCTCTTTGGCCGTCTTTGGGCGTTCTTAGTTTGTCTGACGTCGTCGGAAGCCGTCTTGGTGGCCTGTCTGGGTCGTCTTGGGGCCCTCTTGGGGCATATAGGTTCTTAGAGGCCATCTTGGGCGTCTTGGAGGCCATCTTGGGCTGTTTTGGGGCTCTCTTGGGGCCGACTTGGGGGCCTTTGGGGCCGTGATGGGGCCATCTTGGAGGCCTCTTGGGCGATCTTGGGGGCCTCCGTCTTGAGCCGTCGGAATGCTGAGAAGAAGCAAGTGCCAAAATCTTTCAAAACCCTAAGGACAATGAATGATTTTGGCCTCTTTGTGCCCTCCTGGAAGACCTCCTGGACGACTTTTGGGCCGTTTTGCAGGCCTCTTGGGGGCCTCTTGGGCCGTCTTTGGCCATCTTGCGGCCATCTTGAGGCCATCTTAGGCCATCTTGGGTGCATCTTAGGCTGTCTTGGAGACATCTTGGGGCCATCTTAGCCGTCTTAGAGGCCACTTTTGTCGTCTTGGAGGCCTCTTGGGCCCTCTTGGGGCCTCTTGGGGCCGTCTTGGGGGCCTCTTGGGCGGTCACGGGGCCATCTTGGAGGCGTCGTGGGCGATCTTGGGGCCTCCTCTTGGGCCGTCTTGAGCCGTCGGAGTGCGGAAAAGGCGAAAATGCCAAAATTCTTCAAAAGCCAAAGGACAATCAATGCTTTTGGCCTCTTCGGGCCCTCCTGGAGGACCTCTTGGAGGCCTCTTGGGCCGTCTTGGAGGCCTATTCGGGACCTCTTGGGCCGTCTTAGGCCATCTGGAGGCCATCTCAGGCCGTCTTGGGTGCATCTTGGGCCGTCTTGGAGGCATCTTGGGGCCATCTTAGCCGTCTTGGAGGCCATTTTGGGCGTCTTGGAGGCCTCTTGGGCCGTTTTGGGGCTCCTTAGGGGGCCTCTTGGGGGCCTCTTGGACTGTCATGTGGCCATCTTGGAGACCTCTTGGGCGATCTTGGGGCGATCTTGGGGGCCTCCTGGGCCGTCGGAAGGCTGTAAAGGCGAAAATGCCAAAATCCTTCAAACAACTTTTGGGCCTCTTCGGGCCTTCCTGGAGGACCTCTTGGACGCCTCTTGGGCTGTCTTGGAGACCTCTTAAGGGGCTCTTGGGCCGTCTTGGGCCATCTTGAGGCTATCTTATGCCGTCTTGGGTGCATCTCGGGCCGTCATGAAGGCATTTTGGGGCCATCTTAGCCGTCTTGGAGGCCATCTTGGCCGTCTTGGAAGCGATCTTGGGCCATCTTGGGCCGTCTTGGGGCTGTCTGGGGCAGGAAAACCGTTGGCAACCACCTCTTTCTGGGACCCTGGCGGAGCTATCGAAGACGCCTACGGCGAATCACCGCCGCCCCCTGCCTTTTTGGAAGCGCCTACGTGGCCGAATGTTGAGGCCAGACCTGCAAGCTATCGGACCATGTGTTCCCCGAGTCGGTTTGGAAAGTCTTCGGGGAACACGTGGGCATCTTGAAGGTCATCTTGGCCGTCTGGAGGCCATTTTGACCCTTTCTGGCCTTCTTGGAGGACGTCTTGGAGGGCTCTTGGGCCGTCTTGGAGGCCATCTTGAGCGTCTTGGAGGCCACCTGGGCCATCTTGGGGGCCTCTTGGGGCCGTCTTGGGCCTCTTGGGCGATCTTTGGGGGCACTTGGGCCGTCTCGGGCCGTCGGAAGGCAGAAAATACGCAAATGCCACAATCCTTCGAAAACTCATGGGACATCAATGATTTTGGCCTTTGCGGGCCTTCCTGGAGGCCCTCTTGGAGGCCTCTTGGGCTGTCTTGGGCCATGGGCCATGTTCGGCCGTCTTGGTGGGCTCCTGGTCCGTCTGACGGCGCGGGAAGCCGTTTGGGGGGCCTCTATGGGTGACTTGGGGCCCTCTTGGAATGCTCCAGGGCCGTCAATGATGCCATCGTGGGCGTCTTAAAAGCCTCCTGGGCCGTCTTGGGGCCCTCTTGGGGCCGTCTTAGAGGCCTCTTGGGCCTTTCTGGGGCCATCTTGGAGGCCTCGTGGGCGATCTGTGGGTGATCTTTGGGAGCTCTTGTGCCGTCTCGGGCCGTCGGAAGGCCGAAAAGAAGCAACTATCAAAATCCTTAAGAAACCTAGGGAACACTAGGGTTTGGGGCCTTTTCTGGCCTTCCTGGAGGCCCTCTTGGGGGCCTCTTGGGCCATCTTGGGCCAGCTTCGAGCCAACTTCGGCCATCTTGGGGGGCTCCTGGCTCGTCTGCCGCCGTCGGAAGCCGTTTGGGAGGCCTCTCTGGGCCGACTTGGGGCCCTCTTGGGGTGCTCCAGGACCGTCTTAGAGGCCATCTTGGGCGTCTTCGAGGCCTCTTGGGCCGTCTTGGGGCCCTCTTGGGGCCATCTTGGGGGCCTCTTGGGTCGTCATATGCCATCTTGGAGGCCTCTTGGGCGATCTTGGGGCGACCTTGGGGGTCTCTTGGGCCGTCTTGGGCCGTCGGAAAGCCGAAAAGGCGCAAATACCACAATCCTTGAAAAACCTTCGGAAAATGAATGATTTTGGCCTGTTCGGGCCTTCCTGGAGGACCTCTTGGAGGCCTCTTGGGCCGTCTTGGGCCATCTTAGGGCCATGTTCGGCCGTCTTGGTGGGCTCCTGGTCCGTCTGACGCCGTCGGAAGCCGTTTGGAGGGCCCCTCTGGGCCGACTTGGAGGCATTTTGGGGGCATCTTAGCCGTCTTGGAGGCCATCTTGGCCGTCTTGGAGGCGTCTTGGAGGCCATCTTGGGCCATCTTGGAGCCGTCTGGGACGGAAAAACCCTTCGCAACCACCTCTGGAAGATCTTTCGGCATCCTCCCGGGACCCCGGCGGGACGCGCCGGAGCCCATTGGAAGAGTTCTCTTGGAAAAGAACCAAAACCAAAATCGTAAGAAGTTCAGCACGCCAGGTATCCCTGTGATGAAATCAACAGAGGGCGGCGGATCGAAGACGCCTACGGCGAATCACCGCCGCACCCTGCCTTTTTGGAAGCGCCTATGTGGCCGAACGTTGAGGCCAGACCTGCCAAGCTATCGGACCATGTGTTCCCCGAATCGGTTTGGAAAGTCTTCGGGGAACACGTGGGCATCTTGAAGGTCATCTTGGCCGTCTGGAGGCCATTTTGACCCGTTCTGGCCTTCTTGGAGGACGTCTTGGAGGGCTCTTGGGCCGTCTTGGAGGCCATCTTGAGCGTCATGGAGGCCTCTTGGGCCGTCTTTGGGGCCTCTTGGGGCCGTGTCTTGGGCTTCTTGGGCCTCTTGGGCGATCTTTGGGGGCTCTTGGGCCGTCTCGGGCCGTCGGAAGGCAGAACACAAAGCAAATGCCACAATCATTCAAACACCCAAAGGGAAATGAATGATTTTGGCCTTTTCGGGCCTTCCTGGAGGCCCTCTTGGAGGCCTCTTGGGCAGTCTTGGGCCATCTTAGGGCCATGTTCGGTCGTCTTTGTGGGCTCCTGGTCCGTCTGACGGCGCGGGAAGCCGTTTGGGGGGCCTCTATGGGCGACTTAAGGCCCTCTTGGAATGCTCCAGGGCCGTCTTGGAGGCCATCTTGGGCGTCTTAAAGGCCTCCTGGGCCGTCTTGGGGCCTCTTGGGGCGTCTTGGGGCCCTCTAGGGCTGTCCTGGGGCCATCTTGGAGGCCTCTTGGGCGATCTTTGGGGGATCTTGGGGGGCTCTTGGGCCGTCTCGGGCCGTCGGAGGGCCGAAACGACGCAAATGTCAAAATCCGTTAAAAAAAACAAAGGAAAATCAATGTTTGTTTTCGCAGTTTTTGGCCTTCCTGGAGACCCTCTTGGGGTCCTCTTGGGCCGTCTTGGGCCAGCTTCGAGCCAACTTCGGCCATCTTGGTGGGTTCCTGGCACGTCTGACGCTGTCGGGAGCCGTCTTGGGGGCCTTTCT